AGGTGGTTCTCACATAGGCAAGCCTAGTCTGTCACTTTGGCCGGGTGGTTGCAAACCCCACTGAGGAAAGCTGCACTGGGCATGGCAGGAGCTTTGGACTTTAACCTACAGATTCCACCATACTTGCTTTGGGAGGAGTCAAAAGTTAGATACTCGGGCACCCTAGAAGTCAGAGAGCTCTGCCAGCTTCTGAGGTAAGATGCAGGAGAGGCCCTCAAAGCAGGTGGGCTGAGGAGGTGACGGCCACTGAAGCTCACAAGTGTCACTGATGATGCCCCTCACTGGCAGGAAGGGACTGTGGTTGATCTATCTCCCTAGCTGCTTCTACAGCACTCTGCTCCCACAGTTGTGGGCCCTGTGCCTCAGCTTTTCCACGATGCCTGTTCCAACTGTCAGAAGCAACAGGAGTTAACATGGATGGAGTCTACCTTTATGTGCTCTACTTTGGGATTATGGGTATCTCCACTGTGTATCCATCTGTCCTTCCCAAGAGTCCACCCTGCAGGTGGAAAACCAGGGAGGCAGACTATACTCAGTTATTCAGGGGGCTATCTGGTTGTTTCAAAATTCCTCCCTGGGGAGACATAAATATCTTCTATCCTCCTCCTCATAAGGACCCAATGACAAACCAAAGTAGGAGCTGACCACCGTTCACCCTGGGGAACCAATGAGTGTATTAGGCTTACTTATGGGGTGAGAGGGACTGAAAGGGGTGTAGCTGACCCTAAAGCAGCTGCAGCGAAAAGATTTCACCCAGTGAGAATGATGAGTTCCTGCATAGATGGAGCCCCTCTCCCTTAACCCTCCCTAGCCTATACCTACTCTAGCACCTTCTAAGATTTAGAAGTCGCAGGCAATTAAGGCAGAATTGCATATAAATGGTCAGGAGGAGAGGCTAGGATCTTAGGTGAAGGTCAAAGACCCCCCCACACTCCTCTTTTCTGCAAGAACTTCCAAGAGTCAGCAAAACCAATCATGATAGATTCTTGCAAGCAGGCACAGCTGGGTTGATAAAGATGGCAGCTGTTTGCTTGAAGGACAAGTGGAGTTGTCCCACTGAAGTCATCCCCTGAAGGGCTATCTTCGTTGTGTCCAAAGCTGTCCCAACACCGGTCCCCACTTGTGCTCCCTCCACTCTCTGTGGCCAATGATCCCCGAGGAATAAAAAGACCCCCACACTAGAGACTTCCAGAAGTCATGACAAAAAGTGATCCTTAGACATCTCATAAACCTTGGGGGATGTGGGGATGATCTAGCTGCAGCATCTGTCACCCCATTTAGCACTAGGGTCCATCCAGCTGACCTGGCTGGCTAGGCAAGGGTCCCCTTCTTTCCTCAGCACTCTAGAGGTATTCCTTCTGAAGCTGTGTGCTTGACTGAAAAGGATGGCCTTCTCCAACAAGGACGGCTGATCTTAGGTCAAGGGTACACAAGTAAATATGCTCTTTGGATAGAACCTCTGAATGGGCTCCCACAATCCCTGAGGCAGCTGTTGCAGTGCTGGGTGAACATCTCTGATGCAACCCCCAGTGGACACACACAGAAGTTTCTCCCAGGTGGCAATTCAAAGCTATAGCATAAGAGCCTCATTGACAGCAGTGGATACTGCCCAAATGTTCACCAAGCAACAACTTATACTCCTGCCCACAGCCACAAGGGTCCCTTTTCCTGTGTATTTGACTGAATTATATTTTAACTATTTAAACTTTTAGATAGTTTAGCTAGTCTGTATCTAGATTCCTTGTTCGGATCCATTGATTTGTTTTTTCCTTCTCACTTATGTGTCAATACCACATGTTTTAGCTAGCAGTTACACACTACAGTTTGGACTTAAGTGCCCACCCAAAGCCCACGTGTTTGATGCTGGATTTCCCGCATGGTACTACGAGGAGGTAGGAGAAACTTTGAGAAGTGGAGCCTACTGGGAGGTCATAGGTTATTGGGGTGTGCCCTTGAGGGAGGTGATGAAACGCTGGCCCATCTTCTTCCTCTTCTTTCTTGTGCCTCATCCAGGAAGTGTGCGGTTCTCTTCTGCCATATTGTATTGTGTCAACACAGGCTCAAAGCACCTCTTGGAGAGGAGAAATTGAGTCAAAAGCAGAAACATTTCTACCTGAAAATTTAAAGCTAACATCCTAAGATCAAAATCAAAACAGAAAATAATGATAAAGTTTACTTCAAGAATACCCCAGTGGCAATTTACCCATATCATGGCTACATCTATGAAAAGAAATTCAGCTCATGGCACAGTCAGCTACCCTTCACCACACATTGGACCCAGAACCCAAGATCTCTTAGTATTCTCCATCCCTGTGACAGTTAATGTTAACTGTCAACTTGACCTAACCTGGAATTATCTGAAGAGCGAGAATCTCAGTGTGGGACTGTCTATGTTGGGTAGGCCTGGGGAATGGTTGGGGAGACTGTCTTAATTCATTGATGTGGGAAGACCCGTGGTGGGCGGCACCTTTCCCTACTCAGGGGTACTGAACTTTGTAAGAACGAAGAGATCTAGTTTAGCACAGGCAAGTGAGCATGTGTGTATTCATTTCTCACTTGACTGTGGTATGATAGGACTATTTGAAGTTCTTGCCTTGATTTCCCCACCATGATCTGTAACCTGGGACTATAAATTTAAATAAACTCCTTTTCCTCCTAAGCTGTGTTCTATCGTGGTATTTTACCACAGCAACAGAAACGAAACTGGAACAATCCCTTCTCTCTGTTGTCTGGACACGCCCTCAGTGGCCTCGGATCTCAGACTGGATCACCATCTCCGTGTGGCTGGGCACACGGCATCACCACTTGAGCTGGCCCTCTCTGCTACCATCCAGGTAACTGAGTGGGCATGCATCCCACAACCGACACTTTATCTTCCCTTAGAAATCTGCCAGAAACTGCCAATGTCACCTATCCCCAGATAAGCCATTGCTGTTCATCTCCCTCACCTGCTCCCTGCCTTCAGCACTCATTTGATGACAACTTTAGTCTATTGACTTCTCGTGGAACCCTTCCATGACGCGTCTCTCTCACGTACCAGATTTATTAGCACACACTACAGGCTCTTTCTTAAAATCCATCTGTCATGTTCAGTTCTCATCGTCTCTGCTGACGTCACTTTGAGCTTCACCAGTGTCTCTGCCTCTACCCTTCGTCATCTCAATCCAACAGGTAGAGGGATTCAGTTAAAACCCAAGTCAGACCGTCTCCCTTCTTCCCACAGGCCTCCAAGGGTTCTCGTCTCTCCTAGAGGAAAAGTCAAGGTCTCTTCCATGCCCTATTGAGATGTCCTTCCTCATTCCCCACCCCACTCTCTGTCGTCATCTGTAGTGACCGACCTCCTATCACTCCACTTCCCACCCCGCCTCACCTCCATGGTCTTCAGCTTCCATGACGCTCTACCTACCGTCATGTTCACGTCTCATGAATTGAAACATTCCCTAGGGGAAGGAGAGATTCAGAAAGGAAGCAAAAGGTCACATGTCTGGAAAAGTGGAAACCTGGGAGATTCTCAGAGGCCCCTCCCCTGCTTTCGGGAGGACTCCTCTTGGGGAGGTGACTGGCCAGTAGAGCTGCAGAGATTTGCTGGACCCGACAAGCTGCCTGCATGCTGTGCATAGAGCTCAGCATTGCAGCTTTCGTGAGCCATCATCCATGCTGGGGTGGCCTTCTCGGTGGTGCAGCTGCCTTTCTGCAGCATCCCCATCCGTGACCCATACTCCTGCTAGTGACCCCAGTAAAGACTCCTTGACCTGCCAAGCCAGACTTGGGTGCAATCATTGCTTTGGCCAGTCGTGGGTTCCTTTTGCAGGGCGAGTGGACATGTGCCTGTCACACAACCGTGTCCCGTCTCCCACCTTTGCTCCAGTCCCATTGCCTCATACTCCCTCTCCTTGCCTCGCCTCTGAGAGCACTCCACCTCCCATCATGCTCCACCTCCTATCGTGGGCCATCTCCCATTGCTCCACCCCCAGTATTGTTCCACCTCCCATCGTACCCCACTTCCCAGCATGCCCCACCTCACTTCTCACTGTTTCGCCTCCCATCATGCTCCACCTCCTGTTGTGGGCCATCTCCCATTGCTCCACCCCCAGTATTGTTCCACTTCCCATTGTACCCCACTTCCCAGCATGCCCCACCTCACTTCTCACTGTTTCGCCTCCCATCATGCTCCACCTCCTATCGTGGGCCATCTCCCATTGCTCCACCCCCAGTATGGTTCCACCTCCCATTGTACCCCACTTCCCAGCATGCCCCACCTCACTTCTTACTGTTTCGCCTCCCATCATGCTCTGCCTCCTGTTGCTCCCATCGCGTTCCTCCCCCAACGCTGGGCTTGGCCTGTGCTGTTCTGGCCACACTGGCTCTTTGCTGTTCCACACATCAGGCCTACTCCTTTCAGAACCTCACCTCTGATATTTCTTCTGCCCAGCTCTCTCCTCACACAGGTGCTGGCTTTTCCAGGAAAACTGGAGTGCACCTTGAGATTGATTTCCAGCCCCCAGCCCATATTTCCCAGCTCCCATCTCTATGTCACTTTTTTTTTTCTTCTTGACCTTTGACAAAGTCTGACCCACTGCATACTCTAATGAATCATCTCTTCCTCTCTCTCATTGTCATATAAGCTCCATGAGGTCTCAGCTTGACTTTCTTTGTGCTATACTTCTGGTCCAGGGGACAGTTTGGGGGCATACAGTGGCTGCTCATTACATGTGTGAGTTGAATGGAGTTTGAAGACTGAAAGAGCTTGAAGCATGCCTCTCTGCCTCCACGTGCTCTGTGGGAGCCAGGTAGCTGGACTGACAAGGGCTCCCCAGCCCCCCACTTTTAGAAAGGGAAGGCTAGTGGGCCCCAGGAAAGAGCAACAGAGCTGGGACTGCTGTGGGAGGCCGAAGGTGCTGACAGACAGCTGGCTCCTGGCATCTGCGTCACCTTGGCAGCCTGTTGAGCCAGGAGGGAATTCTCCTTCCTGCTCCTCTGGGTGGGGAGAGGATGCCTCCCTGTGAATGAAGCTCAAGTCTGAACTCCTGGGAGGATGCTGGTTTTTTTTAACTGGCTCTTGGGGTGATGGTGTGTGGTTGTGCAAAGCCTGGAACAGTGGGGGCATTAGGACCAGGAGCCAGACGCATGTTTGGCTCCCGTTGTGTCTGGCAGAGGGTTTGTGCAGAGCTGGAGCTATGTGTGAAAGGAAATCGGGCAGTGCCTGCCGGCTTTACATCTGTTGATCTGACCTGACTCAAGTCGTCCAAAGGAGGGTGTCTGTCATCCTGGCTTGACTGAATCCCCAGCAACTCGCCCCAGACATCCCATAGAACCTGACCATTCATGCAGAGAGGGGAAGAAACATGGGACTAGCCACCAGAACAGAATGGACAAGAGCAGGGTGAGAGGGGAGCAAGCAACACCACCGACTGACTGGAGACCCTTTTCAGAAGACAATTAACAAAATCCAGAGAGGACCCGGGGTGCCCCCGGGCTCCTGTGGTTTTCGGATTCCAAGGGAAGTGGATCTTACAAATGCTGTTGGCAAATGTCAGATGGGATAAAACGAGCAGGTGACTGGCAAAAAGCCTCTCAGCTGGAATGAACAGCCCAGGTTCAATGACAAGCTTGAAGGATCTTGGAGTACAACGAGGAAGCAGACCTGATCAGGACCTGTTGCTTTGGGCAAGCGGCTGCGACATGCTCCTAAGGAAGCGGCCCAGGAACGGCTGTTGCAGGCTTCAGTTCCTCCTGCTCTTCCTGACACTGGGATGTGTCCTGATGATGGTGACCATGTTGCATCCTCCCCCACCCACCCTGCACCAGGCTGTCACAGCCCAGACTGGCAAACACAGTTCTGACACTGGGTATCCCCTGGTCTTTGGGGACTCCCAGGAATGGGTTCTGGAGGCTGAGGATGAGAGTGAGGAGTACAGCTTCTTGGATGGTCTTCCGCCCTTTATCTCCCTGCAAGAGGATCAATTGCTGGTGGCTGTGGCCTCACCCAGGGCTAGGAGGAATCAGAGCCAGGGCAGGAGACGAGGCAGCTACCAGTTCATCAAACACCTGAGCAGGAGGCAGGATGAGGAAGCCCCTGAGAGGGATTGGAGGTCTGAGGAGGATGGGGAGGAATCAGAAGAGGCACTGACCCCACTCAGCATGAACTCAGATGACCTCAACATGGCACTCAGTGCCCGCCTGCCCCTGAGGAGAGTCCTGCCTGAGATGCGGCACCCAATGTAAGTAAGGCCCCTGCATTCCCTTCTCTGGTCTAAGTGTGGGATTCAGTGGTAGCAAAGTCGGGCGTGCTGACTGTCTGTAGTCTGCCTCTCCCATCCTTGGGACAGTGCTGCTTGAGATGTTGTCCCGAGGGCCCCATCATCCTTGATGATGAAACACTAGAATTGAAGATTCTCAAATCCATCTCAGACCTGCTCAGTCATAAGCCTCAGATCCACAGATCTGCCGCTAACAAGTCCCGAAGGAGAGAAAAATCTCACTTGTTGACTCTCTTCCCAGTCCTGGGTTCTATTCCCACTGTAAATCCCCCCTGGGTCACATGGCTTTAATAGGGAGATGGAAGCAGAAGGTCTTCAAGGCTTCTTCCAGTTCTCCTGCTGGAGGTTTGATTTTCCACACTGGCTTCTTATTAGTGTTTGCCTTTATCTGGGATCAAAGATGCATTGGAAAAAATGCAAGAAACACTTATGTTCTTCTCGCCGTGTGCCTGGTTCTAATCTAAGCTTTCCATGTGCAGCCTCTAAAGTCCTAGGGAGTCCTCTGCCTTATGCTAGGTTAGTTTCATGCCTGGTTTGTTCAGTGGAAAGTAAGGAACAGAGAGGCCCTGTGACTTGCCCACTGTCACATAGCTGATAAGGGTCAAAGTCGAAATTTGAGTTCAGGCATGTAAGCACCAGCTGAGCCTGAAGCCCCATTCTCTAGTACCCTTCTCAGTCCCAACAAGAAAAGAACAGTTCCCATGCCCGAGAGCTCATGTACTGACCACAGCTCAGCTTGCCGGGTGCCCCACCCCAGGAGTGGGAAGTGTATGTGACATGCTGATCTGTGCCCAAGGAGGTGGTGACTCAATCTCTAGCCCCTGGTCCCCTCCCACCATGGACAGCCACAGAGACAGACAAGAGATTGCTTCCACAAATCCAGAAGCAATGTGGCTGGAAAGCTAGAACGGTCTAGGGCCCTGCCTATTGAGCTTTCTGGAAAGCAAGCATATCTTCTACCCCTGGAAGCAAAAGGACACATGTGCAGTGACAGCTGAGAGCAGAACCATGACTCTTTGGACCCTTGGTCCCTCTCAGCCTGGCTGCTTAGCCACTGATCACCAGAGAGCACGATCTCCTTAGCTTGTGTGTCCTGGAGCACTCGCCTGCCCATAGTCCCAGCTCTGCTATGCTGACTTCACACCTTGGTTTAAAAGTTCTGCCCAGGAACCTCCCCACTCCAGTTTCAGGCTCCCTCTGGACTCACAGCTCCTCACAGAACAGACACTACTGCCCTCAGCATGCCCATTTGGGCAGTGCCGGCTTTCCCCACTGTGCCGAGAGTCTGCAGAAGGTCAACTGTGCCCTGCATGTCTCAGTATCCAGCACACACTACCCGGTACAGAAACGACCTTTGGATGAAGGAACAGCTTTCCAGTTCTTTCCGTGCATATATTTTCATTGGCTGAGAGCAAGAGTGAACATCTTTATTCTGTAAACCAGAAACACTGGCTCTGGCTTTGGGAATGTGTGTGTGTGACTCTGGTTTCCAGAGCACACTGCATATGCACACTTGTGGGTGAACTGCACGTGTGTTTGTGCACATATGCACTGTGTGTTGAGTGTACATTATGCTGTGTATATTAAATAGATGAGTATTGTGTGTAGCACATGTGTATAGTAGTTTGGGGTTTAGTATATGCAGGTTGTGTATGTGGATCATACCACCCATCATGGGGTACAGGTGTGAGCTGTATTGGTATGGTGTAATGTATATATGCATGTTGTATTTGCTGATGTGTACAGTACATACATATGTGTAGTGCATCTCTTGTACATTGGAGCCTGTATTATGTGGAACTGTGTGTGTGTGTGTTTTGATGTGTGTTTGTCTTGTATGTGTTTATGTAGTGTGTATTGTGCTGTGTGACTGTTTCATATGTATTACATGCCTTTGTGGGTGCAGTGCCAGGATATATATTGTATGAGTTGTAATTATTGTATGTGTTGTATATGTGCTGTAAGTGCACTGTATGTAGGACACATGTGCATGTGTTATGCATTTATTATGTAGTGCATGGATATGTTGTGTGTACAGTACAAAGTGGGTGCATTTTGTGGCATGAGTGCCATGCACAGGTGTAGATGTACTATGTATGGGATGCATGAGTATATTGCATATACCGATAGTATATGGTGTGTGTTTGATGTGATGTGCACATGTACTGTGCCTCTATTCATATGTATATGTCATGAAACTGTTTATTTTTCATGATATATGGGGCATGTGTGTGTTATATGTTGCAAGTGTTTAACATATGTGCTGTAAACGTTTCATGACAATGGTCATGTGCTTGTGTTCAAGTGTGATGTTGTGCTATGCTTGTAGTGTGATGTGCATGTGTGAATGAGGGGTTGGTGGTACAAGCAGATACAGATATACCAGGTGTGTTTGATGTAAGCAAGCTTGTACACTTGCGTATACGTTGGGCTGTTTCTTCCCTCCATGGTAACCAGTGTGTTTCAGTTGTCTGGGACCTGCCCCGTTTTAACACTGAGAGACTCTGGCAGTCAAGAAACCTCTCCACCTCAAGTGAAACATAAAGTTGGGATCTCCATCCCATGGCTCTCACAGTTACCAGCTCTATGCAGAGGTAGACATCGCCCTCTGCTGGCCCCTGCCAGTGAGTGCAGTCAGTGCTGCCAGCTCGCATCTGCAATCAGACTTCAGGGCCCCCAGCCTTCCTAGCCTTCCTGAAGGCTCCTGGATACTCAAGAGTCCCTGCAAAGCCAGGCACAGCCCCTATACACTATCCAAGGTGGTGGTGTTCTCCTCCCCTCCACCTTCCACCGGGTGGAAAGACAAGAAACCCCACATATTAAGCATCTGTGTGCTGTGTAGGGACCTGAGCGTTCCTACCAGGGCTGGGAGACCTCTGCCTGTGGTGTCCTTTGTCCCACACTCCTCCAGTCTCCAAGCTTCCTGCAAGCTCCTCGACTCCTAACCCAGATGTGTTCTTCTAACCTTCACCCTGACCCCACCCCACTCTGGCTCTTGTCAGTCCCCTTGCTAGGTTCCAGATCTCCTCTAGGAGTATGGCCGGAGGTCAGTTTGCACAGGGGGCATTCAAGGGAATTGCTGATAATGCAAGACTGAAATAGTAGAATATTAGAGTAAAGGGAGCCAAAAGACAGGCTCTGGGGCCAGGCATGATGGGACATGCCTGTGCCTCCAGCACTTGGCGAAGGGAGGCGAAGGCAGGAGCATTGTGAGTTTGAGGACAGCCTGGGCTGCACAGTGAGACCCTGCCTCAGAACAAATGTCTCCGGAAGAGAGGCAAAATTCTAGTGAGCTTTTAGTGAGCCCTTAGTACACACTAGAGACCTCAGTAAGTGGGTTTACTTCCTTAATCAGCTTCACAGATCCGTGCAGTGGCTTTCATTTTACTAATGAGAAAGATCAAGATGTAGAGAGGTGAGTAGATCGGTGCCATGTGACCTGACAGTCTGTTCGACGCCAAAGTCAAGCTCTTAACCATCATGATAGACTCTGAGTCTGGCAATTTCCAGACCAGACCTGGGCAAGTCACCTAGGCTGCAAGCATTTAAGTTTGCCAATCTTAAAGCCAGCCACCTCCCACGGCCCCTGAGTGCCCATAGGTGGATGACTACCACAGCATCCACAGTATTACCTAGGAGCTGAAGCTGCCCAGCATCTCATCCTAGGACACCAGAGGGCTGGATACAACCTACAAAATGCCCACCTGGCTTAATACTTAATATTGATGGTGCCATCCAGTCACCTAGAAGATTTGTTGAAGTTACAGATTCAGACATTCTCCATGGCTCCTGGGCACTCCAGCTGCTCTGAAGACACATCCATTTTCAAGGAGCCCTTGTGACTACCTTGCTTAGGGGAGAAGCCAGACACAGAGGCCCCCAAGACACCATCCATGGTGGAGGTGTAAACTGTACACACTGCCATGCTTCATAGGACAGTTCAAACTCACTGTGATGACTGAACTATGGGGAGGGGACACACACACACAAATCAGAATACACAGACAAAATAAAGAGAAAGATCCTTGATGGGAGTCAGGAGCTGAGGCAAGGGGTTAGCTAGGCCCTGAAGCTGCTGTCACCGAGGGGCCAAGGGTCACGAATGTCCTGCTCACCAGTGTCCCACAGCACTGACAGTTTGCAAAGCTCTCCCAGTTCCCCTGCCCCCATGCCTCTTTGATTGCCCTGGCCTCCAGTGTGGACAAGGTGGGGTGGGGGACAAAATCAAAGAGGCCCCCAGGGAGGGAGTGTTTTGAATGTCAGAGTCCAGGCCAGGGGCTCTGCTGCTCTGGTTTAACACTTGTGCTGCCCTCCAGGCACCCAGAAGACTTGTTGAAATACAGGTTCAGGCATCCTCCATGGGCTCCTGGGCACTGCGGCTGCTCTGAGATGCTATGGGAACTCTGTTCAAGGTCAGCTCTCTGGGCCAGGTCAGCCAGAGCAGGGATCCTTGAACTTTAACACGTCTGTGAACATACAGCAGTGTGTTGACAGGCAGAGCTGGATTCAGGAGGTCGGGGCTGCAGCCTGAGATGCTAAACTCCAATGGTCCACGGGCCCTACTTTCAGCAGCCAGGGGTCACACCACCGAGTCCCAACTATGTGCATGGCTGGCTCACCCACCACATGTGTTAGAACACAGACATTGGACTCGGTGCCGACCTCATATTTGATCCATCCAAGGGAGGTGGCTCTAACACGCAGCCAGGCTGAAACCAGGGCTTCATCGCACTGGTGTTCCCTAGCTTTGAAAGCCAGTGGGGGGCTGAGGAGGAGTCCCTTTGCCCGAGCCAGGATCAGAGCAGGGAGGGGAAGCATTTTGCTGGTAGCTGTGTTGTGGAGCAGAAAGCAGTACAACTGACAGGGTTCATTCAGTCCCCTGTGATGCCCGGGGCATGGCAGGCAGTGAGTGAGTCACGGGATGACTCCTGGCCCATCTTGTGAGTTCAACAGCCTGACCT